AACACTCTCAGATTCATTTTAAGAGCCCAATATATCCCTGGTACCAAAGTAGGAGAAGGACACTAAGAGAAAAGAAACCAATAGGCCAATATCCTGGATAAATATTAAAGTGTTCTCAAGGAAATAGTATGAAACCAAAGTTAGAGGCACATGAAAAGGGTCTTAAACCACAATAAGAAGACTGACCTCTTGGAAGCCAGGATGATCTAACATATGCAAATAACAAATGTGATGCAACACATCAATAGTATGAAAGAAAACAATCATATGATCGTCACAATAGTTGCAAAAGGTAGTGACACGATTCAAAACTGTTCATGATAAAAAGTCTCAACAAATTAGGTGTAGAAGACAGAACCTTATATGGTGAGCTTCGTATATGAAAAGACTACAACTAACATCATACTCAGTGGTGAGCATTTCCAAGCTGTTCTTCCAAATCAGAACTAAGAAAGGGTGCCCACTGTTACTGCTCCTACTCCACGAATATGGGAAGTCCTAGTTGAGAAATCAGGCCAGAAAATGAAAGAAAAGGCATCAGACTTAGACAGAAAAAATGAAACAACTCTATTATCAGATAACATGTTCTAATATAGAAAAAATCATAGACATTCCACCAAAAATGGTTAATCTAATAATCAAATTCAGTGTGTTGAATGACCCAAATTCAACATGAAAAATACAGTAGAATTTTTGATACACAAATGAATATTTTCTAAAAAATAAAACAATTTCAGTTCCAATATCAAAAACAATAAAAAGAAAAAAATAACCAAGTAGGTGAAAGTTCTCTATACTGTAAATTACAAGATACCACTGAAAGAAATTGAAGAGGACACAAAGGGAAAAAATCTGTGTGCATGAATTGGAAGAATTAAAACTATGAACTGTGCATACCAACCAAAGCCATCTATAGATTTTATGCAATCCCTGTCAATATTCCACTGGAAATTTTTACAGAAAGAGAAAGAAATCCTAAACTTTGTAAGGAACCACAAAGATCCCTGAATAGCTGAAGTGATCCTGGAATAGAATAGCAGTGATACAGTTATTTACTTCTTATTTCAAAATATATTACAGTGCTATCAATCATAATGAAAACAGCATGGTTCTGGAAATAAAAACAGAATAGAGTGGTGGAATAGTATTGTGAGTCTAGAATAAATCCTTGCATATGTAGTCAATCACTATTTAGCAAAGGAGCCACACCAAACAAAATTTGATCATGACAGTCTTTTCTCATGGCAAAGGTGTAATTGCATATTTGCATGCAAAATAAGTAAATTGGACCCCACCCGATACCACTCTCATAAATTAACTAAAATAGACTAAAGAGTTAAATGCGTGGCCCAAAACTATAAAACTGCAGGAAGAAAATAGGCTAAAATCTTTTCTTATGGGTCTTTGCAATGATTTTTTGAATATGAGACATAAAGCACATGCAACAAAAACAAAAATAAACAAGTGGTATGATGTCCAATTAAAACACCTCTGCACAGCAAAATAAACTTTCAACAGAGTGAAAAGACAATCTTGGAATGGGAAATAACTACAAAGCACATATCTGATATTTACAAACTACATATGGTAATATCCAAAATAGATAAACAACTCATACAACTCACTAACAAGTTAGTTAATCACCATCATCATCCTCCAAATAAAAAGGACAAAAGGACCTGAATAGACATGTATTCAAAGAAGATACTCACATGGCAAGCAGAGTCAATAAAAGGTACCCAACTCTACTAATCCATTGGGAAACACAAATCAAATCCAAAATGCAGTATATCCACACACCTCTTAAAGTGGTTATCATCAAATGACAAGAGGTAAATGATTGTGAGAATGTGGAGAAAAGGGAGTACATATTCCCTTTCAGTGGGAATACAAATTGGTATAGTCACTATGGAAAACAGTATTGGAATTCCTCAAAACATTAGAAATAGAAATAACATATTACCCAGAAATTCTAACTTTGATACATATAAAGAAACTATCCTGAGGAGATTACTACCTCATGTACATTGCAGCATTATTTACAGTAGCCAAGAACTTGAAACAATGCACGTGTCTGTAAATGGTTGAATGTGTAAACTGAGGTACATGTATATAATGGAAATTATCCAGCCATAAAAATTAAGATGTTACCATTTACTGAAAAATGAATAGACCTTGAGAATATTATGCTAAGTGAAATAAATTGGACAAAGACAAAAACTGTGTGATTTAACTTCCATGTGGAATCCATTTAAAAAAAGTCAATCTTGAAATATCAGAACAAACAGTACTATGGTGGTTTCCAGAGACTGGATTGTGCAGCAATAGGACATACTGGCCAAAGAGTGAAACCTTCTAGTTACAAGATGATAGGTCCTGGGGATTTAATGTACAGCATGTTGAATATAATTAACAATATTGCATTATGTAATGGAAAGTTGGTGAGATAGTACATTTTAAATGTCACACAACAAAAATATGTAATTATGTGGGACAATACATGTGTTAACCAACGTTATTGCTGTTGTCATTCACAATATATATGGCTTGAACATTTTCATGGTGTGCACCCTAAACTTATACAGTGTTACTTTTCTTTTTCTTAATTGAAATATTGTTGTCTACAATATTGTATGGGTTTAAAGTATACAACACAGTGGTTCAGCAGTTACATATTGTTTAATCCTCACCCCAATTAAGTAGTTACTATATTTCAACACATGGTGTTACAGAATCATTGGCTATATTCTCTATGCTCTACTACTATCTCTGTGAACAACTTTTATTATGATTAAGAATTTTGTACCTCTTTATCTCCATCAACCTCCCAACCCCCATCCCAACACCCCTATCATGGTACCACCAGTCACTCCTCAGTGTCTGTGAGTCTACTGCTATTTTGTTCATTCTGTTTTGTTTTGTTTTTAGATTCCACAAATAAGTGAAATCATATGGTATTTGTCTTTCTCTGCCTGGCTTGTTTCACTTAGCATAATATCCTCTTCTGTTCATTCATGTTGTCACAAATGGCAAGATCACTTTCTTTTTATGACTGAATAGTATTCCATTGTGTATATGTACCACTCTTCTTTATCCATTCATCTCTTGATGGACACTTTGGTTGCTTCCATATCTTGGCTTTCTATTATGACTCAATAAACCTGATAAAAATGTGTGCTAGTTTGGCACAAGAACAGACCCAGAGACCAGTGGAACAGAATAGAGAGCCCAGATATAAACCCAAGCATATATGGTCAATTAATATATGATAAAGGAGCCATGGATATACAATG